GGGGGTGGGGCTTCGGGAGCTGCGGCTAGCGCCTTTCGGCCTCTGACCACCGTCCGAGGCACGTGTGACGAAATAAAAAAAAGATAAGGCAGGTCCAATCACTTCAGCGCGTAACCATCATTAAGGCATTGGTTTTGCAAATTTCTTTTTCTTAAAAAAAAAGAAAAAAAAAAAAGAAAAAAAAAATCTTGCTTTGTTCTGCTTTGTTCCTTTCCAGCATTCACTTCATGCTGTTTTATGACCTTTTCATCCTCACAGCTGCAGCCCGTGCTGAGGAGCACGAAGAAGCTCCGCTGCTTTCCAGCCAGCAGCCTCCTGAGAGCAGCGAGGGCGCCGCGTGGGCTCCAGGCTCCGCGGCGCAGTAGCCCGCGCTCCTTTCCAAAAGCTGAACGGACTTTGCCGGCGCCTCCGTTCCAGCCCCGCAGCTTTGCAGAGTGCCCCCGTCCCAATACAGTATCAAACTAACCTTGCAACTGTTTGAAGAACCCAAGAACTGTGTTAACGCTCAACACCCTCCAGGGCAGGAGGCAGGACTTGCAGCAGGTGCCCGCGCCGGCAGAACTACTCCACGTTGAGGGTTGTTTTTATGTTCATGGCTGCCAACTCGGCCACAAAGTAGCAGAAGACGTGCGGGACAGGGACAACCTCGATGCTGTCAGCCTCGCCGCAGAGGGAGCACGAGTATCGCCGGTTGCTGGCCACGGAGGAGAAAGGCGGAGGCTGCTCGAGCACAGGGGACGTCATGCTCCCGCAGCTCGCGCACACGTAGGCTACGGAGCCATCGGAGCAGTTGAAGAGACGGTCCTGCAGCAAGAACGACGTGCCGTGGGCGAGCAAAGCGTCGCGCTCCATCTCGCCAAAGCGGATGCCGCCTTCCACGTTCCTGCCTTTGATGGGCTGGTTGGTGACGCTGTCTCGGGGCCCTGTTGTCCTCACCTGGAACTTGTCGGAGACCATGTGGCGCAGGCGCTGATAATACACGACTCCCACGAAGATGTCCACCTCCAGCTCCAGGCCGCTCACGCCGCTGTACATCTTCTCAGTCCCGAAGAAGTTGTACCCTGCGCTCTGCAAGGTCTCCCCGAAGTATTTCAACGCGGAGTTCTTTTCCGTGAAGGTGAACGGGGTGGCGTCGTAGCAGACACCGTGCAGCGCTGCGGACTTCCCTGCCATGCTCTCAATTAACATCCCGATGGTCATACGGGAGGGAAACCCGTGAGGGTTGAAGAGGATGTCCGGAACCATCCCGTTCTCCGTGAAGGGCATATCCTCCACTGGCCAGAGCTGGCTCAGGATGCCTTTCTGCCCATGGCGGCTGGCAAACTTGTCTCCTACAGTTGGATTTCGGGGCACTCTCACGGTGATGCAAGCTTTCTTGAACTTCCCAGTGCCACGGTCATTGCTGCACAACCTGACGTTGTCTACGATGCCGATTTCCTTGTTCCTATGGGGAAAGGATCACAGCAAAAGTTGCAGGTGGGCTAGTGATTTTTTTAAGTTTGGAAAAGGAATTGAGGGAAAATAAAATTGCTTTGCAAGTCGCATAAAACAACGTGGGACTGCTGGGGACCACTGCATTTCTAGAGAAAATACCATTCAGTAGTGAGGGAAATCGGACTGCTAAAGAAATAGAGCTGGAAAGCAACACACAGGTGTCACCTACATACCTTTGGTTTGCCATTTTTAAATACTAGAAGGAGAGCTTTCATTTTCAGGGAATCAAGTGTCATCCATGATAAATAAATAACTGAATAAACCTAGTACATCTGTACAGTCATCTGACATAGAATCCCAATGCCAACTTCTTTTGCTCTAAAGGTGGCTCTGTCCATCAGTAAATTCACTGTCTTGGTGGAATATTAAAATAAAAAACTGGGCTCGGAGCAAAGTAGGGAGGAAAGCTCAGAGGATGAAGGGAGGAGTTGACACAGCCTTTGCCAACAAGCTCCTCTGTTCAGTGAGGAGCAGTGGAAAGTTTCTGTTGTTGTGAAGCTTTCAGCACAAGCCATCTGCCCTTTTGGAGGACTATTAACAAATACGTAGACTTTGCCCAAATTCGGTGAGAGTTACTTTTTTTCCTTCTCTTCAAAGATCCCCATGACTACATTATTTGCAGGGCTGTACCTGGTTTATAGCTATTCCTTTGCAGGGTCCAAATGCAAGCAAGGTACAGACCATCACCAAAACTTAGCTGTTATGTGACTGCACTTACTGATAGTACACAGTGAAGGCTTCCCCAGTGCTGAGGTTCCTGAAGCTGTAGAATGGGTCCCCTGGCTGCAGGATGGAGCCAACATAAGGCAGTCCATCAGCATCCAACTTCCCGGCGAGGTTCAGGTCACCAGGCTTGATACCAAACACTAAGTTGTCGCCTCCCCTGTTGGCTTTAAGGGAAAGGTCAATGCTCTCCACCTTGATAACGCTTCCATAGGCGAACCCTCTCTCCCAGGAAGATTTGTTCACAATCTAAAAAGGAAGGGAAAAAAAAAAAAGACTTGCTAATAACTTCAACATAGAAATGTTTTCCCTTCTGCATTTGTAACATCACCTTCCTAAACTAAACCTCCCAGTAAGTCAGCATTCCTACAGATGCAGACGACATCCTGCAGGTTCCGTTTTTTCCAATTCCTGAATGCCTACCACCTTGCACGAAGGAGCTCTGCTCTACTCTCATCATCTCTTGCACTACCTGCATTGGGCAAATGCTACTTACATTCCTTTATCTGCCCTAACAGGACCTGTGGAGTAGCAGAAACGGGCTCCCCTCAGCTAGATTCTGCCCTTCTTTGTAGTTTCCCACATCCAATTGTTCTACAGAGCAGCAAAATTCAGTGTTTTGGTTCCTTACCATAGCGTCTTCCATGTCATAGCCACTGTAGGAGATGACAGCCACGACGGAATTGGTTCCAATCGGATAGCTGTCCATGTCATAGTAATCATACATGCTGGGCCTCACCAGGGGGCTCTGGGGGGTGTGGAGGTGGTACAGCTTGTTATCCGAGCGGTCCCTGTAGTTATAAACTGGAAATCCCATGGTTTGCTTTCCTATAAAGGAAGAAATCCAGCTGTACTTAGGATCAACTCAAAGGTAACCAGCGATTCATCCTTCAGGTATCTTGTTAAAAACAAAGCTGGAAACACAGGGGGATTGTCAGCCTTTATAATCCTTGGAATTTAACAATTGCCCTAAGTCCTGCTACAAAACCACGTTGTAGCCATTGTGTTTCTACAATCCATTGTGTTTCTACAAACCACAATATTCAACTTATTTCCAATCATTAAATAAAGAATATTTGCAGTTTTGTGCCTCTTACAGAAATTCCAAAAACCCCAAATGGGTCTTGTTGAAAGTTTCACATAGTGAAGCAAAATTTACATATTCTCAGGCCAAAAAATAGCATTTGTTGCAGTATGAATATACTGGCAGAGAAAACAGATTTTGAATGTAGTGACATTAGAAAAAAAGGAAAAAGTGGTAGTGTTTCAAGGCCACTTTTCTATTGTATTACTGTTCTGCCACAGATGGTCTCCCCAAAGTTGCAGAGTCAAGGCAGCACAATCGCTCATGGAAAACAGACAGCAAAGAAGCCCCACGCTATTGCAGAGCATTTACTCCAGCAACCAGTTAGAAATAGGTCAACCTACCTCACTCACAGGGAGAGGAGGACTGTTGGCAGTGCAGTTATCAGATATTAAAACCACCATAAAGTTGTAAGAGTGGTTCCCCTTCCCTTGTTTGTATGGTCAACAACTATGAACTGAAGAAAGCTCCAACCCTCCAACTCACCCCCCCAAGAAAAAAAACAAGCAAGCATCAGTGCAGCAACTCTGTAATGCTTGCTGGAAAGCTGTCAGGATGATACACTTGATTTAATTTACTTTTTGAAACAACTGCTGGGGAGGGGAGCTGCTGTTTTGGAGTGTAGAGAGACACACTGAAACAGATACAGGAGAGATTTCTTCCCTTTCCCCTTGCTTGGGGACTCGCAGCGTTAGCTGCTACAGAACGTACCCATCTGGCACTGGTACATGTTTCGAGGGCTTTGGTTGTGGTCGGAGAAGGGGATGAGGTTGGCCACCACGCTCAGGATGCTGTGAGGGAAGAGCTCCTGGTGAGTGGTCACTCCGGGCACGACCTCCGACTCCAGGGCTGCAACGTTCATGAAGATCTGCAAGAGTCAAAACAGATGGTGCCCATCTGCCTTGTTCTTTTAAAGGGAGGAAAGCAAAACAAAGCTGCCTCGCACATCTACGCGTCCACTTTGGTTTTATAGCTGTGATCTTTGTCTGCACCTGACTGTATTAGCAGTCAAGAAAAATACCAGACAACTGTCAAACTGCCCATCACAGGGTAGAGCACAGGGAAAGCAACTCGCAGACGAGGAAACTGCTAGAACACATCGCTTTTCATATCTCCCACTTTAGCTGAAGTACCAAGAGGTAACACATACGACAGCAACAACCCTCCTCAAAAGCTTCATAAAGTTAAAACCAAGAGTTTTCAGCTATCCAAAAGATACCTACAGTTCACATGTAAAGAAACACGCAAGGAATCAACATCGAGATAACCAAAACCCCACTTTGTCACCTATTCTAGCTCTTTGATTCAAATTTCCATGCCTCCTTCTCAGTTCCTTTCACAAGTATTTTGGAAGATACCCCTTTTGAAGCAGGATACCTATGCAATAGACAGTACTGCAAAGCAAACGCACGCTCTACCTGTTCCAGGGTACCAATCCATTCCTTCCTTCCATAGGACAGGTTTCTGACAGGCCGCACCATCCGGCAAGGGGTAGTAAAAATGAACAACCCAGGGTACAGGCTAGGTTTTCCTGTCTTTGGGATAAGAACCACTTCTGCCCGTGCAGGAAATCTCTTCTCTTGTGTTATCTGTTGGCACAAAGAAATACCAGTTTAGAAACACAAATCAGCACCGTTTTAGTTAACCTGCATTCAGCTCCCACAGTGAGAATTCCAGCTGCAAATATAGCTACAATATAAAATGGAGAAGAATAGATTTTTTAAAATATTTTTAGAAAGATTTTCACCAAGGAGTGACAGAACATCTCTATCTTAAATCTTTCAAGGAAATAAAAAGTGTCTGTAACAATAAATAGTTCACAAACCGAGAGACGAAATATATGGACTGAAATGCTCACTCTCATAACACCATCCAACCATACGTAACTTATAGAGTCAGTGGAAAAAAATCAATAACAGGAGGTTAAAAAACAACAAAAAGGTTCCAAGCGTGTATTTTTGACTAGCGTATCTTGAGATTGTTTAACTACATCATGTTTTAAACAAGACAACCTTGAAACGCCGGAGGGTTTCTGCAATCTGCGGAGCCAGCTCCTGCTCCACCCAGCCCACCACAGAGCCGTCCAGCACAACTCGGTAACACTCTGCGTAGGGCTTGCCTGGAGTGCCATCAATGGGAGTGACACCTGTGAGGGCAGGAACAGCCAGAAAAGCAAATGAAACCGGGAGGTTATTTCCACAAGAAGCCTCAATTGCACCAAAAAGCATTTCAAGGCATTAACAACAATTTATACCATCACGCAAAGTAAAAAGGCAGAGCTGTAAAGTTACCTAATGGAAAACATCAAATATTCACAACCTAAGTAAGGCACTTCCCCTGCCCTTACTTTTCTGAATTAAACCATCTGACTACCACAATAATTCAGCTCTAATGTAATTCAGCAGTCACCAACAACACTAAAAAAAGTGACTGTTTCTCCCAATATCTTTGCTTGTACTGTGCCCTTTCTTGGTTTAGGTGAACATTTTCACTCTACAGGATACATCCTCAAGGCATAATTTTGAACATTGCATTCTCCAAAAAGTTTTAACACTTAATAAACACAAGCAGAAGTTTCCAAGCTACTTATTATGCTTACATATATAAGCATAAGTTTAATGGCCACTTGCCATTAGACAGAAGCACAATAAAAGCATGTTTACCTCAAATTCACTTTCTGATTTCAGTAATTTACGGTGATGGTACTTGGAGAACATTTCACAGATATGGGTTTAAAGGACAAAAATGAAAAAAAGAAGACTGCCAAAGGAAGAGAGCCAATAAAACATACCTAGGGAACACATCAAAGGTGGAAGGTCTATGACAGACACCATCTCTGTGACTATTTCACACACAGCTGTCATGTGGTTCATGAGACCACAGGGCTCTCCATCTGGGGTGTCCACAGGGCACAGGAACCCCCAGGATTCGGGCAGGAGTTTGCGCACAGTCGTAGTTCTCATCTGGGAAAACGCTGAGCCCCTGTGTATGCAGCGGAAGTGGGAAAGGTAGCGAACAAAATTCAGCTTGTCTCCTACCACACACAGACCGCTGTCCTGCAGCATGCCCAAGCCTTAGGGAAAAACAAACAAACAAACAAAAAAACAATTTGGGTCAGCATGTAATAATATACTTCTCTTGTCAAAGCTATATGTCAATTTAACATTTTTCACTTACAAGGCCTAGAGAGGCTCACCCAGTTCCAGACACAGAGGTACTCAAGAGTCTCAGTGAACTGCAGTGGCCAAGAGACCTTTACATTTCAAACTGCAGCTTAAAATCCAATTCCTTTTTTTAAAAAAATAAGTTGCTCCCATCTGCTCAATGAAACTATCTGGGAACTTGCACCTAGCATCCAAGACATTTTGAAGAACTCTGAGTGTCAAATGAGTGTTTCTGGTGGTCAGCCAATTACTTCATCACACTAGCTGGCCTAGGGAAGCATCATGTAATCTGAAATTTACAGTTTAAGTGCAGTTTCTCTGTTTGAGCTCACATGACAGATGGTGCAACTGTGAAAACGTTTGTGTCTTAAATTCTACCTAAGGAAATAATCTTTGGGAGAACAAATGAAAACATTTGATGATTTTGCTGATGCTAAATTTAAGTTCATTTATTTATCTGGGAAGAGGCACAATTCTAATAAGGAATGTTATGTTGTACCACGCAGAAAACCTATATTTGTGTAAAAATGTCACCTTTTTCTCTTAACAATCCTCTTCCCCCAACCACTATCTCCCTAACTTCATTTACAGGGTATAACATCTACATAAAAACAGTTACTTTTAATTAAGAGTTCTTCAGTTTTCTGTACTTTTTTTCTCCTCATTCTTCTTAGTAACAACAGGAGGGGAAAGAAAAAAAAAAAAAAAAAGAAAAAAAAGGCTTCCTGAGCCTGAAGAGTTACCAGTTTTAGACCGCAGGTTACCCGTCGCAAGCAGATACTCAAATGGCTTGGTGAAGTCCGCTGCCAGGCCGAAAGCTTTCATCAAGTTGTCTGTATTCAGACTGATATCTGCCTTTTCTGCTCTCTTCTCCAAAACAAATCTAACAGAATGCAACCAGCTTTCAAGCCTCTCCTACGGTTTGAGAGTGAGAGATTTACATTTAAAATAGGAAAATGATGGATCAAATTAGAACTTCACATTTCTTGTGTGCAGGGTTAAGTATATGGGACAGAAATCCTTTGAAATCAACAGGATGGACAATTTCAAGTGACTTAGCATTTTTTTCAACCTTCAACACTGCCTTCATCCTACCAGGGTATTCACAGGATCATATCAACAGAGACCTGCCAGCAAAACGCATATCCAGATTTCCTGTTTTCTGGTAGCAGGCCCATACAGTACTAAAATGCTTCACTGAAAATACATTTAATTTTATTTCTAAGTCACTGAGAAACCTCAGAGAGTGGCAGTTTTATTAGCCTTTCAACAAAACAATGCTAGAGAATATTTTAGCCAAATGGGTGAAACAAGATGCTGTTAAGAATGAGTTAGCTGGTAACTCTGGGAAATATCTTTCCTTGGAGATCACTACTACTTCACAATGTTTTTCATGGTTTACTCAAACTTTTCCTGAAAGAAAAGGGGCAGAGTATTTTCTTGCACACTTGCCACATGAAACAGCAGCAAGCCCACAATGAGACAGATTAACTGCTTTACCACTAATATATCACTTGATGCAACAGAAGTATGTTGCCTCCAAACCCTTTTTGAATACAAGAGGGATAAGATATTCCTTTTCCCCTGGACTCGCACCCTGTATGGGGCACTTTCATTTGTTCCAGAAAGCTCTGAGGCTGTTTCTTTCAGAATTTATACAGACTTTCATTTAGCAAATTTAGTATGCTATTGTACTAGTGTGACAGCCAAGTTGTCTGGTTTAAATCCCTCAAGATCTCACCTTTAAAAACATAAGGAAAAGCTGCCCTGGGGTAAGCACTTCTTGATTCATCAGACTATCTGGGTTATCCTCCATACACTCCCCTTTGGCAAAGGCATGCAGCTTCCGGGTCATCATACAAAGCAGGTAGAATTTTTCGGTTCTGTTTGTCAAGTGGATGCAGATACACTTGCTGCAGAAAGAGGAAAAGGACAATTAACACCATTCTTTCATACCAGCTGTTTTTCAAGCTCATCATAAATAATCTCAGACCAAATTCCTTAGTTGAAAAAAAAAAAAAAGCTTTCCCACGCATCCTTAATATTATGTGAAAATTTCACAAGAAACAGAGATTTAACATAGAAATGACCATCTTGTTGTTACAAGAGACTGGTTTTTATCAGGAATACACCAAGGTCAGTTTTACACACATTAGACACCTTCACATGTAGGCAGTTTATGTATGCAATGCAGATAGGCAAAGACAGGCAGGCCGCCTTGATATTTCCAGTCACCTGACTACTTCCTATTTACAAATATTTAAAAAGACCTGGGAATCACAAGTGATCCATTTTAAAAGCTTACTAAGATGTCAAAGAAAAAAATACACACCTTACTGCGAAAAAAAAAATACATAGTTTAACACTTGTCATGCTCTAACAGCCTCAAAGCTAGCCCTTTCAATCCTACCCAACTTTTTCCGTGGAAAAAATGGGTTTTTAAAGCATCACCTTGTTTCTACTACATAAAAAATAAATGCAATTCTCCTAATAGTGGTCAATGGCTGCACGAAACAGCTGATATTAAGTGCTGCAAATTGCAGTATTTCCTTTCAACAAACTGAGCCTTGATCCGTCACAGACCTCGTTCTGTCTGCTCTTCTCTTTCTTCATCTGGAATATTTATGATTTTCATTAAATACACCATAAAATCATATCTAAATAAGAAATGGTAAGGTCTCCTGAAAGCAGACAGATCCATTTTGTGGATGCTCGTATCAGTCTGTAGAAAACCTGTTTCTGAATACCACGGATCCAGATTATCATTAATATCTGGAAGTCTTGTCAAAACTGTCCGTCATTTTACAAGCACATGGGAAACCCATAACAAATACAATTTGATACAACACAGCAGCTTTCTTAAAAGTTGCCTAAATGCACACACACTCCTAAACGCATACACACTTCAAAAGGAAGTCAGCAGCCTGCTCGTTGCTGTACCACTCAGGAAGGTTAAGTTTTACTCGGAAGCTCCTTCCCAGGTAATCGAGGACCTTTTGCTGTGTAAAGCAGCCTGCATCCAATACTGCTCTCATCATCTCAGCAACACAGTTCACATAAAAGGTGTCATCTTCCTTCTCTTTGACCAGCTCTTCAAATATCTGGTAGTCTGAGAAATTAACTAGTGCCTGAAAGACAGAAATGTATCAAGTCAGGAAACAAAACAGTTGCAGCAATGTCTGGCTCTAAAATAAAGGAGCAGGAGCAAATCATCCCATTGATTTAGGTTTTCACTCCTCTAGAAATACCCTTCCACCATGCAAAGTGTAAAGCTACTGCGCAGCTGAAATTCAAGGGAAGCACAAGGCTGCACAGACCCTAATGATGATCATGTGTCCTCCAATCTACCCCTGGGAAAGACAAGTGTGCACCAAAAAAAAAAACCCTCAAACCAAACAGGCTTCTTCTGTTTAGGTATTGTCTTATATTTTTGTAGAACAACCTCACTTACAGTCATGAATTGACTATTGTCTCAAGCTACTCATTACGCTCATGCAAGTCAAAAAGAGATCAGTGTTTTACAATGAATTCTCTTTAGCTTCAGCACTTCACTACTAAAGCTCACTCTTAAATCCAGTATTCTTAGCTCTTAGTTTTATAAGTTTTCAAACCATTTCTTTAAGTCAAGGGGAAGGTGATTGCCTTGCCCACCAATGACTTCTGTATCTATTGACAATATTCACTCATCTTTTAAGTAAATTACTTCTCTACATAAAAGACAGAAATTTCAATATTTGGATGGAGTCAAACTTCTGCCTGCTGTCTGAAGAATATTTTAAATCCACAGTACTCAGACAGACCTGTCTTTTTTTTGTTTGTTTTTGTCTCCCAGTTCTTAATTCCTCACAGTTCCAACAAGAAACAGTACTTTTTTTTTCCCTCAGAAGAGACAGTTCACCAATTTATATTTAGATGGGTCAACCTGACTGAACTGATTAACATTGCTTATTCAGCGAACACTTCAGCCATGATTGAGATTGACTGAACTGTTCCTTATTCTGCATGAATCATTCTTTTGAAGAAGGGGAAAAAAAGAAAAATGACTGAAAAGGATGACTGAAAATACCTTGTATGGAATTAGCTACTTAATCATTACTTAAAGAAAACAAGTGTTTAGCAAAACTTTTGTCTTTGCTCAACACAGAAAGCACAAGCATAGTTACTTACCTTCAGAGCAAACCCCAAAGGCAGGAAAAACAACTCTTTCTGGAAAATGAAGTTCAACATCACACAACCATTTTCCAAGTAGTGAAGGTTCATATTTATTGCAGTGTGCTCATCCTTAACACAGTGCAACACTACTCCTGTAAAAAATTAACACAAGCAAAGAGCAAGGTGAGCTGTACAGAGCCAACTGACCACATTTCTGTGACGTATCCAGATAAGTAAGAGTTACAGGTTTCATTATAAAAATCTAGGCATTTCATGGTTTAGAACACAAGGCAGAGAACAGTCGTCCATCTCAAATAAATATGTCAGCTCAGATCAGTTTTTAATGGACATATGCCTACAGAGTAGCTGGCATACTTACTGAGAGGCTCAGAAAATGCATAAGGGTTTTAAGAAAGGGAAAGCCCCAAGTCTCAACTGTCCTGTCTATAATTTTAGGTTAAGATTACAGCAATATAACAAGAACTTCTCTTAAATTCACTCTGGCTCAAGTTTCATATCTCTGTGGTAGGATGGTACCTTTGATGCAGTGTCTCTTGGTCCTACTATGCCCTGTTCACTACAGGGCAAAGGAAAAATAAAATGAATGGGAACTGTTCAAACTGGCACTGCCTCCAAACTCCCTCCTGTGGAACTGCACGTTTCAGTCAAATCAGCAGGTGATAACTTCTGATTTAGAAATATAGCTGATATGACTTAGCTGATTTTTAAACTTGCTTTACTGAGTATATGCGCAAAACCTGCAGGACAGCCAAGAGTCCGTCTAATCTGCTTTACATAGATAAAATCTGCCACCTTGAAATGCAAAAAAACAAATTCAGTTAAATGACTTTAACAGTTTATGCTGATTTTTACTACAGCTTTAGTTATACCTTCTCCATAACAAACGCTTTCATTTACTGCATGGTCTAGAACACAGTTTTCTTGCTCAGCACAGACAGTTCATGCAACTTCCAGAAGAAAAGAACATGCCTCATGCTTGCACTATTACAGTGTTTTTGATCCCTTATTTTTCTGTGTAGTAAAACTCATCTCAAAATATAAACATTTTGCAAGAGCTGCACCAAGACAAACTATCAGAATATCAGTTACAGTTAGTCAGTCACTCCTGTTTGTCCTCTAGGAGTTATTTGAAAGTTGCTGCCAGAAATTCTTCAGCTTACCGTACTCTGTGAAACCAGGGCCTCTGTTTTTCCACTTGTGTCTTGTCATGGCAAGAGGGAAATTCCGCCTGGGCATAATCAACATTCTAACAACTTTTTCTAAGCCATTAATTATAAAGTAGCCTCCCATTTCCTGGCAGAAAAAGAAAAATGCTCACTGTGTGTTTATAAACTCATAATCCAGCTTTTTATGAGGAAAAAAAAAGAAAACAAAACAACAAAGCTTGCATTATACAGTTCAAAATATATCTGAGCACTGTGTTTAGAAAGGCTGCACTTGCCACCATTGGCTATTAAATTTAAGTTTAGCATGTCCACTCTCAGCTACATGGTCTCAACTACTGGCAGCAGTAGAGAATTTATACAATGGAAATGTAGGTATTAGCTAAAGTCCTTTAAAGGAAAGCAGGCTTTACACATTACTCATACCAAGCACAGATTTTCTCATTTCACAAAAATACACTTACCTCTTCTTCCTCGTGGTGCTGGATGAGCTCTTGAGCAGAAAAATTATAGAGGTTGCACAATTTAGACTTCACCATGATTGGAATATACCCCAGGGGCTGTTTAATGGTCCCTTGTGGAATGTCATTCACCGACCAGCTGATGTCAGCCTAAAACACCACAACATAAAGGATTAAGGAAATTAAGTTGCCTGCTTTCTTTTCTGCTTTATTAATATTGTGCGCCTGATAAAACCCCAATAAGCACACTATCATTGTAGAGAAAACATGATAATCATAATAAAAAGCAGAATTAACGGATTTAGTGATAAATATTACGCTCTGGAAAACAGTCAACATTGGTTTGCGGACAGAAATTGGACAAATCTAGGCCTATGAAAAGAAACTACTAGAAAAAGTGGAAGAATACTGTAAATGCTCAAGGGGAGAAGATCAACAGCAGAGGCCTACAGAGCTTTTCCCTAAGATTCCAAAGATCTTTGTCTATTTAAAATGTTTTCTTAAGTGATTTAAAAAGAAGGAAAAGAGAAGAAAAAGACAGTTTGCTTAAGGAAGTAATTTATTTACAATAGAGAGCATATGGAAGGATCCCTTGTCTGTAAGGTGATAAAATGCAGAGAGAGAAAAAAAAATCTTCATTTTATTTGCAGAATGATGGGCTCTAAAGGAGCTACTGCCACTCAGGAAAGAAATTTTGTCATTACAGTATGAAAATACCAACTCAAAAGAGTAAACAAGTCTTGGGAATTACCAGAAAAAGGAAAAGCAATGTCACTGTGCCTCTCTAAATCCATGGTGCACTCTACACTGAATCCTCTGCACACTTCTAGTCTCAAGCATGACCAGAGGTTCCAGTGACTTCTGTGCAAGGAGCTGCTAGAAGACTTTTTAGCTTAGAAAAGTGGGGTCCAGAAGGATCTGCTTAAGATCAGCACAGTGAAAGCAAACAGGGAATGATTATTCCCCAATTCCTACTGCACAAAAGCAGGGAATGGGACAACTAATCCAAGCACGGTGCAATACTTCCCCAAACAAGGTACAACAAACTTGTTGTGCTGTGACTGTCCAACACACAGATTCAAAAAGCAAATAAACAAATAAAGTTAGGAAAGAAAGAGTGAACCGATTTGGATATATATATAAACATATATAAGTTATATATATATGAAGTGTCTGTGAAGAATCTGTGAATGCCGTACTATTATGTTTTGAGAAGATACTGCATTTGCAGCTGCTCTTACCACAGTAAGTTACAATGCTTCAGAGAAAGAAAGTGACGTGAAATTGCACATAATCATTGTTTTGCAAAAGACTCACGTAAATCTACATCTTAGACAAAGTTACATAATTTTAGTGGCAAACAGCAAAAGTCTTCTGACGCTATCACAATGCAATAACTGATGAACATGTGATACAAGCAGGAGAAATTTATAATTCTAGAGCAATACTGATTCTGAAGCCTTGATTCCTACAGAAACAAGATTTGCTTTATCACATTCTCTAAGACTAGACAGGTCTCCTTCCAAGACCTTCTGAGCTGGCTAGCTGATTTTTTACAGAAATTAGACAGCAGAATAAGGAAAATGACTAAGGTCCTATTAAAAAAAAAAGACAGAGAGGAAAGAGATTTTTCCAAAATGAAAAAGAAAATGCTTTTGCTGTGAGCTTATACTTCACCAGAAATCAAGACTCCATGCAGGACATAGTTCTTCAAAATACCTGCAAAGCAAGTGGAACCTGAAAATGACCTGTAGCTAAAGTTGGAGCAAATCTGAGGAGAAATGAGAAGTAAGCTTTAGTTAGCGTTGCTCTCATCGAAGCGGTGATGCTACGTAACTCTGTGTAACAGCATAATACGTACAAGACCCTGGAAAAGAACGGTGGGCTCCCTACAATCCCAGGTCCCTTTCCCCCTCCACTCACGGTGACTTTCCCCCGATACGTGCTCCGCAGGCCCCTGCACTCCGCCGGGTAGACCTTCATGTCCTGGCAGATGGTCCCCTTTGGTACCATTGGGGGAGAGATGGAAATCCCAACCATGGCCAGCGAGACACGCTCGCCTCTGAGGGCGAACTCCACCGGGTGGAGATCCTGAAACAGAAAGGCGATCATGCTTAAGTATATATGTGTTATATATATATATATATACACACACACAGATATTAATAATGTATGTGTTAAATATGTATAAATGTTTATTATACGTAGGTCAGAAGAAGAAGGGCTGCCACAGCGTCGTCTGCCGCTCTCTCAAACCACCCCCTCCCCAGCGGCTTCCTTGACTTGCTCCCAGCCCAGACAGCCCCAAAATCCCCCATTTTGTCCCTCGCTCCCTCCACCTGCACGGCGCGGTAGACGCCCTCGCTGATGGCGTAGTTGAAGGAGTCGATGTGCGCCGCGGGCAGGTCGCGGCGGGCCTCGCCACGGGGCA